GGCCTGCTTCAAAACCTTAGGCCTGCTTCAGAGCCTTAGGCAAGGCCGGGTCGCCCTCCCCACCTGCCCCAGAGCAAAGCAGAGGAGAATGATGCAGTACAGAACACGCCAGGGGATGCGGCAGGCCACCGGTTTTGGTCTTTTTCGTGCCCGCTGGAAAATTCCCAGTATGCATTTTTTGGCTTGGCTTTGCACAGTACCTTTTTTTTTTTTTCTGTGTCTTTCACCAGGTGCAAAGCAGAGCAGAACATTTCCTAATACCTGCCATCACACTTTTCCGCTGGGAAAAGGATCCAGTTACTATTCTGGAGGGGTAGTGAGAGCGGGTTGCACTGCTGCTGCCCACGCTTTTAGCTATTCAAGGCAAGGAGACCTCAGCCATTCCAGGACCACACAGCCAGCACCTCGAAGAATGCATGTCTGCGAGGCGCTGCCTTTCATAGGTGTTTGCGCAGTACTTAAAACGTGCATTAACAGGGAGAAGGGACTTCAAATGGAGACCTAAGTAGCTGTGCAGCTCTGCATAGATGTGGTAGCTGAGTCACCGTTTCCTACACACAGGGGCTCCCCTGGGCATAGACCAAGCAGCTGTTCTTTTGAACAGGATCTTGCTCGTGGACAGGGCTCATGGCTGCAGCCAGAGTACAAATAATTCAGCGCTGACCTAAGAGAAAGTAGAAGTGAGCCACCTAATCCCAGATGCGCTGTCACCCTAGGACCCTGCATTTCGGGTATTTGGCTTCTTCATCTAAACACGTAGGAGACACAGGCTATGCTATATCATCTTTCTCTGTGGATTTGGATTTAAAAGACAATAATGCCAACCCCCCTCTGAAACCAGCAGCACTGATATACCTGTTGTGTCCCCCCCATCCAGTTACCCAGCAGGACTGTCCCGGGTAAAGAGAGCAGCCTCTCTGGGGCAGGCAGGCATAGCAGACAAAGCAGTTTGCTGTTATGGCTTCCATCGGCTTGACCAAGGCGGTATCATAATCCAGATGGTTTGAGCGGTTTTCGTGGAACCACTCATGCTGGCAGATTTGCTTCACGTGGTACATTCTCTGTGCGGATTCTTGTGGCTAAGGTTATGCTTTCCTAGGAGGATTCGCCAGTCAGATACATCTTCCACCTCACCCCTAAAAGAATTTCAGAGTAAGGAAACTCATGCATATTTTTAATGGGCTCTTTCCTCCCACCACTGATGGCAGTACGTACCGCTCCTCCCTCTGCCATCCCCTTAGCCACACAAGACATGCCTTTTTACCCAAACCTACAAAGCAGATCAAAGAATGAAATTTAAAATGGCATTAGCCTAAGCAAAGGACAAATTTGTAGTCTGCTAAAATAGGGGCAAAAGGTTGGGTAGAGTTGCAGTTTTATGGAAGAATAAACAAGATGATCTCATGTTCAAAGAGCAGCAGAGATGGAAGCTTATGTATTGGGTTGTTCCTCAGTGCTGGATAAAGCTGTGTATCCGTATTGACAGTAAGCCTCCAACCGAAGTACGAAGAGAAGCACTTTGGATGTGTAAAAGGGACCTACATACACATCAAAGATAGTTAATGAGGATTAACACATGCGACTTTTCCCTTGGGAAGTGTATGACTGCATAATGTGCTCCTGTACCCAAAATTCAGTCCTACTTCTTGCCAAATGGGAATCGCACGTGTAGTCTTGCACCGCAAAGCCCATCCTTCCTGACAAACCACCGCTTGGCTTTGCCTTCATTTGGCAAAAGTGCTTAATGACCCTCTTTGTATGGTCAAAGGCTTCTTCCTTGCTCGGCTGCACTGTGAGAATAAAGGGCAGGGTGGGATTCATCCCTCCACACCCCCTTGAAACAGGAGCCTCAATATAGAAGTGGAGCCTTTTCCTGCAGTTCTAGGCATTGGCCTGCCAAACTATACCACTCTGCACTACCCTAAACACAAAGAACTTGAGGAATGTTCTCTGCTGCAATGATTTTATAGCAAATTTTATGAGGTTCACGCACATGTTCTTAAAGAATGTTTCTGGTTCCCGTTTAGACCATTCCTCTTTCAATAACTGCAATAATTTAGTTGAAGAGAATCAGTTGTGTTTTCTATCTTTAATGCCCCATAATGTAATTTCCCTGTTCTTTAACTCTACCACACAGTTAAGCAGCACATCGCTGCCTTTTAAAAGGGGGATAAAGAAGCGCAGCACACTGACAGCGGTGCAGCACGCACAGCACAGCTGGAGGTGAAGCCAGATGCCAAGGCAGACTAACAAGCTGACAGCGGCTCCTCTCAGAGACAGCAAGGGTCCCAAAGCAGAGTATGAAATTGTAGAAGAGTTGTCACTGTAGGCATCAGGGAAATTCATGCAGCTCCCGGGGGAATCGCCAGTTGCCTCAAGCTCTGCGGCTGGAAGCAGGCTGTTTTCTCTTTGTCCCTGCCAGCCCGGGTGCGCGGGCCTCCCTCATGCACGTTCTCTCTGACGTCTGTCCCTGGTCCCCTTCCAGGCAGTCCGTGACCTGGCACTCGGTCCCACAGCTTCACGCCAGATCCGTCCCCAGCCTTCCCCCAGAGCTCGTCCTGCCCGTGGCCGGAGGCCGGCCTCGCAGCCACCAACCCGCCCAAGGAGCCGAGCGGGGCAGCAGCCAGGCGTGCTTAAGTCCAAGGCTTTACTTCCCTGCAGGGGATTTTCAAAGCTCTCTGCTCTGTATTTACTTGCCTTGAATCTTTGCTTTTTGTGTCAAGCGACCTCAGTACCAGAGACAAACTAAGTATTTTTGAACGCCCACACAAACGTTTTCATATATAAACAGATGTTTTAATGACCTTTTCCTGCACCGCACACTCGGCCTTTTTCCTTCCTCTAGTTTAAGGATTTCTCATTTCTGCAACCTTTTCTTAATTACTGTCTATTCGTCTACCCCACCTATAGTCTATCCCACTTCACATGAAACAGAAGTATAGAATACACCTAACTCCACATGCATCTTTCATTTAAAGAGGTTCCCAGAAAGGTTTTCTGTAGCTGCTCCAGGAAGTCTAACCAAAGGCAGAACTTACTTCTGGAAGCCATGGGCTGCAGTGAGAACCCAGCGTTTGTGAATAAGGGTCCTGCCACAGACGTGAACAAATCTCTTACTGGTTGTGGTCCAAACCTATCAGTGCAAAAAATAACAACAGAAGTTTTAACCAAAGAAGCGTCATCCCTGAGCAGAGGGACAGAGAAAAGGAACAGATTTAACTTGTGGTAACAAAAATGCTTTCTCTTCTGCAACAGGGGCTACTAGCAATTCTAGAGGGAAATACCTTTATTAATGTATTACTTCATCATATGTGCAATGAAGGTATTGGGACACCGTACCCTATGCACAGACATGTTGGTAAGCACATACCCAAACATTCAGATATTGTCAACACAGCATCGTTTGTGTGATAGATGCCTAGGCAGGCAGGTTTTCCTAAGGGTCCCACCCGTTCTCTACAACAAAACCACACGTATGGCCATTTTAATCCTCATCCATTTTTTTCTGCTTTTTTTTGTTATTCATCTTTCCCTCCTGAAACCCTCCAAAGCTTCAGCTGGTAGATGCATCTCAAACAGCAGCCACTTCATATACCCATATCCTTTTGCAGAAACAGGAGATTCTTTGATGGCCAGAAATTAAATGTCTTCCCACCTATCAAGTGGAAAGCACACTCAGTTCAGATATGCCAGATAGATACTGCAGCTCACACGTGCTTTACAAATGAGAGGAATGTCCATGTATATTTTGTGGGTTACAATAGGCTTGAGCACATCTTCAATGACAGCAGGA